GACATTTTTATGTTTATACGTTCTTTTTATAGATACAAATATTTAAGTAAATGTTCTGTGGCTGAATCGGTAAACGCACATCAGGTTATATGACGGTTCCGTATACGATACAGGTTCGATTCCTGTCAGATGACGCATATTTTCTATGAAAATTTCTCGGACATTCAGGCCGTTAAATGTCATTAATACCGTTTATTATAAACCGAGCATTTACTTAAATATTTGTATCTATAAAAAGAACGTATAAACATAAAAATGTCTTAAAATAATTGTCGGACTCAATTTCATTTCATAATGTGTGACGTCATTTGTTTACATTTGGATACGCATCAAGTAGATATGAATGTACGAGAGAAAATCATGGAGAATTGTAGTTTAAAAACAGTAAAATCGACAATGCTAACCGAAACGCTTCTCTGTGGCTCAATCGATAAAAGCCCGCCAGGCTATATGACGGTTCCGTATACGATACAGGTTCGATTCCTGTCAGATGACGCATATTTTCTATGAAAATTTCTCGTACATTCAGGACGGTAAATTTCATTAATACCGTTTATAATAAACAGAGAATTTACTTAAATATTTGTATCTATAAAAAGAACGTATAAAAAAACTCTTAAAATACTAAAGTGTATATACTATATATTATTAATAAAATATATTGTAGAACAGGTATATAGACCTTGACTTGTATAATAAAAAATACGTATACTATTGGCACACTGACTGATTATAAAACCCTAAGTCGACACATAGTTAGCAAAAGGTTTAACGAACCCTGGTCTATAATACGAGATTATGAACGTTTGCACTATTGGTTAGTTTTTTTTGTTTTGTTTTTTCCTTTTTTTTTTTTTGAGGGGGTGTATTTACGTCAACTGAGTTTTTTTGCGTGCAGTGATGACATTGAATTGATTTTATAGTTTAGTAACAGACGAAAGAAAGTATGACAGAGACATCTGAAAGCTCATAAGAATAATGAAAGATGCCTTTTAGAAACTGAGCAAAATATTTAAAACAAAGAAGTCAAGTGTCATACTTGGGTCATCATGTTTCTTTCGATTCATGACTGACAGGTCAGATTTTCCCGCTTTAGGCTGCTATTTATTTCTGTGGTAGACTCGTTGACAATCAAAGCTTTAAGGCCAAGTATTTCGTGCTGTTCAACCCACAGCTAGGAGAGGGGGAGAGATGGATTCATTCCTTCCATAAGCGTATTTACGCTGAAGTGAATATAAGGAACCCGACTAGAATTCGAAATCATGTCTCCAGTTTCTCATTCTGAGGTACACCATCCGCATATCGAAAATATTAAGGGATTGGGGAAAAAAGACCAAAGAAAGAAAGAAACGTACGGTGAACTGTAAAATAATATCTATTTTCCAATCAGATAAAGACAGAAATTGAAGCGCTGGACGAATGTTGAGAATAACATAGCCATCACATGTGAACAACGAGGAAGAATAGAAACTAGAAGGAAACTGATGATAGCAAGATAAAGCTAAAATGTTTGTGACAATTAATAAGGAAGTAAAGTTTGAATATTTTAACATTCATAGGACAATCTCAAGGCAAGCTTGATTGATTTGTTTTTTTTACGGATTATCAACCTTTTGTGGATAATTTAAAGCCTAAACATCTTTAGGATTATCAAAATACTTCTTTTTTATTCGCGATTTAATAAACAACTTTTTGAGAATAACAATGATATTTTTTTCAGATAAGAGTCTTTTCATTTAACCTATAGCTGGTGGGGAGGAGATGGATTCATAGCGCGTAAGTGAATGTAAATATCCCGACTGGAATTCGAACTCGACTTCCGGATTTCTCATTTCGAGCAACTATCACACTATCTGCACATCCAACACTAATGGCAAGAGAAGTAAATGTTGAGTTAAGTCTGAATAAATGTAAGGTTAGTGGCAACAGAAATATTTGTCGTACAGAAGGATACTGAGGATACCATAGACATGTGAGCAACGACGAAGTTTTAGAGAAAATGGAAACAAAAAGAAAACTTATACCTAACATCTGGAAAATGATTTCTATGGAAGATAATGTGGAAAGCGGGATTGGAAAATGTCATATTTACAGGCCATATCGATGGCAAGAGGGACAAAGGAAAAGAGTGCATGAAGACGATATTTATTAGGAGCTAGAAAGGACAGGAAATTGTGGAGAGCCATGATTGCTTACGTTGAGCTTGGATGACGGCGCAAGGTTTAAGAGGAATAGTAACAAGACGATATTTATTAGGAGCTAGAAAGGACAGGAAATTGTGGAGAGCCATGATCGCTTACGTTGAGCTTGGATGACGGCGCAAGGTTTAAGAGGAATAGCAACAAGACGATATTTATTAGGAGCTAGAAAGGACAGGAAATTGTAGAGAGCCATGATCGCTTACGTTGAGCTTGGATGACGGCGCAAGGTTTAAGAGGAATAGCAACAAGACGATATTTATTAGGAGCTAGAAAGGACAGGAAATTGTGGAGAACCATGATCGCTTACGTTCTCAAGAAGAAATAGATGACAAAACAAAACACTACAAGACAGAAGCGATAACTCCCTGATCAAGAAATTATAGGAAATTGTGCAGAGCCATCATCACACTTGGCAATGATAGAAAGTGTAAAGTCAAAACCACCGCTCTACTTTACTATAGATAAAGATACCAGGAACCTTGTTTTATCACCGGAAGTAGTTAGAGGGGTGGTGGTGATAGTGTAATGAGTGGGGAAGTTATAGAGGGAAGAATTTCGGGAGCTTTCTTTATTCCATCAGTCAGAAAAATTGTTAGAGAATTACTATCACTGTACGGACAGTGGTTACGTGTTCTGTAGGTAGTGAAGATGAAATTGGGAGGAAAAGATGTCAGGAGCTATGTTTATCACCGGAAGTAGTTAGAGGGGGATGTTGATAGGCTAATAAGTGGGGTAGTATAGAGAGAAGGATTTCGGGAGTTTTGTTTATCATTTCATTAATATCACTTTATGGGGATAATACACACAGCCTTATAAATATTACAATTTTATTAACACAGTCTTTTGAATTTCAGATAAAGATGCCTTTCCAGGGATTTTCTTAATACGTTGATCAGAATTCTTCCTCGTGTTACTATTTCTTCTATGGACTGTGTTTTTCTTCATGGCGTGGGCGATCCACGACTTCCTCTCTTTTGTAGCTCTCAATAAATCTTGTTTTTTCGCCATCACTCTCAAACCCTGCTCCACCATCTATTCTCTCAAACTCGTCAGGTAGGTTATGCATTGATTTCCTCTCTCCGTTTTGGCTTAAATCTATCCTGTGTGTATCAAATTTTCCAAGCCGTCTTTCTTCAATATGTGTCTTGGAAATTCCTCTTTCTGATGTTAAGTATAAGTATCCTTTTTGTTTCTATTCACTCTAAATCTTCGTCGTTGCTCACATTGTAGGTGTAGATATGTTCGCCTCTCATCTGTTACAAACTCCTTCCCTGTTTTTTGAACAAGAGTAAAGGTTTATCCTTTCTTTCCGCTTTAGGACTGCGTCTCCAATTCTTTGTAAAGACTTTTCATTCTCTTTTACTTTCCCTTGCATCTTAGTGGAAATATCGCCTTACTTGATGTGAATTGATTTAAAAAAATGTTCAGTATTCTCTGCACCCTTCTGTAGACCCACATTTCTGCTACTTCAAGTCTCTCCATCTGTTCAGCATTCATTTCCATATAGGAGGACTGATATTACGTATTAAAATTCTGTTTGTT